TCAGAGTTGACAGCGGCTTTGGAAAGCTACGATTGCAGATCAGGATCTGAAGTCATACGCATAATAGTTATTAGACTTATCCAAGTGGGAGACTGTTGGATTAGTGTCTAAGTCCATAACTATTTTGGTATGTACTTGACCCGATGGTGCATGGTCCTTTTGGGTTGCCTTCACCAAAGCAACTTGATTGGAGAAATAAATAAAGAGAGAGAGGTTATTATGATTTATTAATATGTTATAAGAATAATATATTAAAGGAGAAATCATATTTGCTTAATTAATATTGGTCAATAATTAATTAGGAATTAATTTTGTGATCAAGTGTAATTAATTAAACTAGAGGGGCTGAATTGTAATTATGTGATAGTTACAAAATATGGTAATGGTTATCCTAAATATGGGTTGAACGAATTCAAGGAGATAAGGATCCTTGAAATCGTCCAAAGGATAAAGGATAAGGGTTTTCAAGGCTTATCTTATGGTTGCTTTGTGGATAAGCAACTAGATAAGGATAATGACTGAAACCCTATCTCTACACCTATATAAAGACCGTAAGGCCTTAGAATTCATGTACTTGTTCCCAAGAAGTCCTAAGGACGAATTCTAACATCTCTCCTCTCTCTTTATACCTTCTCCATTTGCTCTTGGTGTTTGTAAGCCATTAGAGGAGTGACACTTGTGACTCTAAGCCTTCCAAAGTCATTACAAGAAGAATTAGGATTGTTATTACTCTATAACAATCAAGGTATGTTCTTAAACCCATTCATATGTTAATATCGATTTCATATACTAGAATTAGGGTTTGAAGTCTTGGATTCAAAGCATGTACAATAGAGAAACCTAGATCCAAGCAATAGGGTTTGTATGAGCACATAGGATGTCTTATGACCAAAACCCATCAATTATATGATTTGGAATCTCCATTATGATGATGAAACAAGCAGAAGGGTCAAGCAAGGGGGTGTTTGTTTGATTTTGATTTTGATTTTTCTTTTCTTTGTTTAGACAAAAAATCAGTTGAGTGTTGATGAGTTTTGGGTTTGATTGTTCTTGATATAAATGGATAAATGGAATGGATTTCTAGGGTTAATGTTTTATAGGAAATTGTTTGTTTTGCTTGACAGAATTCGATGTGGTGTTTATTGCTTGAAATTGCCATGGAAAGAAGACGAAGCAATAACAATGACTGGTTTTCTATTTCCACATAATTTGAGGGAAACTGAAGATACATATCTTAAGTCGTCTTGAAAAAGCACTCAAGTTTGAAGAAAGATTGGATATTGATGCCGAGGAACTTTATACGGAGTTGAAATTATTTGAGACATTGGAAACCAATGAATTTAGTAACCCTATAGATGTTTTGAAGTTTTTGAAAAAACTTGATTATTTTCCAAATGCAAGCATTGCATATAGAATAATGTTAACTATTCTAGTAACGATGACATCTGCTGAAAGACATTTTTCGAAATTGAAGTTATTGAAATCTTACTTATGCTCCACAATGTCCCAAGAAAGACTTAGCGGTTTGACAATGATATCTATCGAGAACGAAATCTTAGATAGTATAGATTATGAAGAGTTGCCCAATTTGCTATCAAGAATGCTAGAAGAGCTTCACGGATCGTCGGTTAACAGTTATGATATGTAATTATTCATTAAAATACAATGATTTTGCTATGTTTATTGGTATAAAGTTTATCATCGTTTAAAAAAATATGTAATTTAATTCGTTGCACGTTAAAGCCTAAGGGCCTTTTTTCCGCATCGTCCTGAGTATTTAAATTCTTAGGAATGATCCTAGTTGTCGCCTTAAAGATTTAATTGTGCAAGCCATAGTAACATGTAAAATATTTTAACTAGAGGTTGAGTACACAACTTACACCTAACATCAGGTGTATAAAAAAATTCTTATTGATTGTATATCAGGGTATACAAAGTTACTAAAACAATAAATCTTATTTATCTAAATTAAATTCTTATTGATTGTTTTCTAAAAAAAAAAAAAAATCATATTTAGATGTATAAAATTCATTGATTTACCTAGTGATGAGTCATAAAAAAAAATATTCATGATTCAAATACTTAATAACAAAAAAGAATAATCAAATTGAATTTGATCGATTTACCTTAGGGGGTCAATTAAAGACCAATAAAAGGATTTTTATCTTCAAAACTCCTTAGAGCTAAAACATTCGGTTTAAGATGTATACGTATTGTCATTTTATATATTCTAGATCTACATATAAGATGTTGGCTAAAGTCTTTGTAATTTGAAGATGTTAATATTATTACAGTTCCATTTTTTTTAGTACACCAAATAGTTGCATTTATTGATACCACAAGAAAATTTTGAAATTCCTGAAAATCACATTATCGTACCTAGAAAGATGATTTTTAAAAACTTTGACGGAATAACATAATTTATGGAAAATTATATATACAGATTTTAATAATCTTTAATTTTATCCCATATTTAGTATCTTCTTTTAATAACTTAAAAACTAATAAAACAAATTCCGTTGTAGTCTAGTTGGTTAGGATATCCGGCTCTCACCCGGAAGACCCGGGTTCAAGTCCCGGCAACGGAATAATTTATTTTTATATAAGATTTTCAAGTTTCACAAACTTCAACTAAATTTATAAACTTGTCATTTTCTGTCCCTCCAATTGTCTTAATTCTCAATCATTCTCTGCACTTGAAATATTCATGGTACTTGAGTACTTATAGTTGTATCCCCTTCAATATTCCAGTTTTGCTTCTAATTTTATTTTCCCATCATATCACGTCGTTAAATTTTATATTCATACAAGAAAGTGTATTCACTAGTAATAAAGTTTTAAAATCAGATTTGTTGTGTTAAAATTTTGAGTAAGTTACAGAATGGTCCATGCGTTTTGGTAAATTTGCAGGTTCAGTCCAATTTTAGATTATCTTGCTTGGAAAGTCTTTGCGGTTTTAATTTCATGCAAATTTGGTCCTTCCAACTTACACCATTATATATGAGCCTATAAAGAGTTAAATCTTTGAAAAATGACCATTATACCTTCGTTTCCCCATTTTAACTCACCCTTACATTCATTGGTCATCTTCTTCTGGATAATATGATGTTTGCAATGGTGCTAGGTTGGCATCCTCATGTTTCAATTGCTTCACTCAAATGCTACAATCTACACCCAAAGTTTCAAGGTTTGTGATGGTTCGATTAGGGCTTGTTCATTTCAATCTCTCTTTTCTTGAAAATCTATCTACTTCTCTAATAAACAAAACCCAATTATGCCGCATGACAATTTTCTAAAACTCTACTTTGCTACATGGCATATTCTGCTCAAGTCTACGTCTATAATTCGTTCCGAAAAAATTTGGAGTTTAAAACCAATAATGGAGGGGGTTTAAAATTGGAAGTTTGAATTACCAATATTCCACATCTCTACTATTTGTTTCTTCCTCTGTTTCAGGGTATCTCTTCGCATCTTAGCTTTTTGATTCACCTGCTTCAAAAAGTATCACTACCATGTAGCCGTCACCGACTTCAATAAACATCCACAGACCTCCAACATATTACAACTTACTGTCAGCATTCTTTAAGCCCCTTCTCTCTCTAACCTTAAAACGTTGTCGTCACCTCCCTGTACTGCCGTCAATCACCTATATCTCTTTCTTTTCTCTCTAACACTACAAGTTTACAACTCCTTCAACCACCTGATTCCATCATTATGGCCACCACTTTTCATCTTGATTCCTATATCGCCGTCGTTCTACTTTGATTTTAGGTTATTAGGATCTACAATTGGTGTTTACAAGGTCATTGTGCAAATTGTTTATTAGAACCAAAACCTGCAATCGATTCTTAATTATTTTCTCATCTTTTAAGATTCTTGGTTTCCCTTTTCAGTCTGAATTGATCCTAGTTTATTTAGGGTCAGATGACAAGTTTATAATATGAGAAAAATACAGGAAATAACAATTTACTTTATTATTTCTATTACCGTAAGCAATTTACTTTACTGTTTCCCTATAATAACAAGGTACTTACATATTTTTTTACCAATAATACCAAGGTACTTACATTGTCTCTTAAACCTTGGCTCAATGATTTCCCTTTATGATGGTTTCTCATTAAAACTAAACTCGTGATTAAATTCTTTGTTTACCATTCTTATAATCAACTATTCTTTTCAAGTAAAGTATTTGTTAATAGTTGTTCATTGGATGGTGCATGTTAGAAAGATTTCTAGAAAATTGTTTGTGATATAATGAAAAACTAAATTGTTTGTTTATTTGCAAAATAGTCATGGTCGGGAAATAGTTGGGATCTTTGTTTAGGATATATGTTTATTGTCAGTTTAGAATAACATTTACCATAGTTCCATAAGTTTTTTGAATTTAGCATGATATTAACAAAATTTCATTAACATGATATTATATTACATATACTTACACATTTATTATAATAATAATCATTCATTAACACAACATAGTTATATTTTACTTTTATTTTTAATTAAATACTACAATTTTACAGATTAAACTGTTATGGTTATTTTTTTACTTTTACATAATATTTCATGTTTTCTTACAATAAAAGTTATGCAATGTTTTTTTGTTGGTATTTTATTTTATTTTTTGTCTATATAATAACTATAAATACCAACTTGCATGGACAATTTCTACAACTTACTCTACTAATTACATTGCAAAAAGACTCCACAATAGGAAAAACACAAATCACAATATCCGGGTTTCAACCTAAAACCTCTTTGATATTCCTACATTTCACCACCAAACCACTTATGCATAAACTAATACTTATGTAGTGAGACTTAACAACACCTCAATAGCAACCACTAAAAGGTTCGTAGGCTAACTTAATTCCATAAAAACACCGACATTACCATAACCAAAATGAAGTTATCAAGTAGATACAAACCGAATCCAAAAAAACAAAAAAAAAAAGAGACCTAAATTACCGTTTTCTTGCGTACTTTATGAAACCTATATATTACTCAAAACCTTTTGTATTCCAAACCATAAACGATTCCCTTTTCTGAAACTTACACTGTTGAAACCCACTCATGGCCTTCCCCATCAACGCCATTGCAGCAATACTCGGAAACTGCTTTTTCTCATCTTCCTCCGGAGGCCCCACTTTACATTCTCCCTTTTCAATTCTTTCCACCACCGGACTCTTTTGCCCCTGATTACTACTCCATCTTTGAATCCAAGCATTCGAAAGTCCAACCACCTCTTTATTATTATTATGACGATCACTAGATTCAGCTATCGTAGTTTCTGATGGTGGGCCCACTTTTACTTTTGTAAAACGCTTGTTGTCAGGTGAAGTTTTTGGAAGAAAACCCGACCCGGTCAGCTTGAGGCGTTTGATCCAACGGCTACCTGGCTCTGAACCATGGTTAGTTGTGTGGCCACATGAGTTTGAGTTTGAGTTAGTTGTGTGGCCAAGGTTGATGTCTAGGCTTTGTGTTCTTGAGGTGCATGGGTCGCTTTTTTCTTTTTCTTTTTCTTTTTCTTTTTCTTTTTCGGTTGAGCTTGATGAAGCTGGGAGAGAGGAAATTTCTAGGTTAATATCCGGGAGTTCCATTTTACGTTTTCTGTGTGTGTCTTTTGGTTTTGACAAGGGTAAAATGGGAATATTTGACTCCATTGTCATCTCCTGAAATGTTACAAAAAAAATGAATGAGTTCATTGTTGGCAACTTTTTCACATATATGTTTATAAGGATAATAAAATGTTCTGATTTTATAGATGACTATTTATGCAACAATGTTTTATCTTTTTACTAATTAATTGCGACTATGGAAGTATATGTTTTAACCTAAAATTAATCTATTCCCAGTTGGACACGAAAAAATCAAGAAAAAGAAACCAAAAAGGGTTTAAGGTACAGTAATGGACCTTGGTTTGTGGGGAGAATTGTACACCTGTAATAAAAGATAAGAAAATGTAAGTTAACTACTGATGTAAAAAATTTAAATAAAAAATGTCACATCAATAGCAACAATAGATATGGAAAAAAGAATACTATCAATGGGATAAAGGATGTGGTTGAAAAAAGGTTACCAGAAAGATGATTCTCCTTGAAAGATTCCATATCCATGGTGTCAGTATCAGCTGATGACTCATTTTTTTGAACATCTTCAATCTTTTCCTGAGATTCTTGATCTGAAGACTCCAAAAGTTGAAGCTTTACCCCTCGTTGACTATTAGCAAAATATGCAGGGCTGTGGTTGACCTCCCTTACAGTTTCTTCTTTAAGCCGAGTAGATACCATGGACTCCCTAAAGATCTGCTTTTCTTGATACACTTTAACATCAGTCTGTTTTGTGATTAACACACTGTGAGTTGTCCTTGAAAAACTGTGAGAAACATTTTGAAATGACTGCATTGTCCCTGGTTTGATCACTTCTGGACAACTTTGATGTGGAAAGAATCCCATTCCAATATGTTTTTGCATCCTTTTGTATTGTTCTGCAATTAAAGAAGGTGAAGAATTGCTGCTTGTAGAAGGGTCAGTCTTCAAAAGGGATGCATTATCTTGTCTTAAAAAAGATGACATCTTGTGTTCTTGTTCCATGGCTACTGAATTAGTTTTTGGCAAGTGGTTTTTGGATGCGAATATGGTTTTAAGCTGGCTCATGTTTTCTTGTCCATGGGTTGTTTGGCTTTCACCAAAAAACATGTGATACTTCACCTGTTCAGAAGGAATTTGTGATGCTTCTTCACGTTGAAAATGACATTCTCTTGATGAAGATCCTATATTCAAACCAGCTGTTGATTTCTTGTGAGAAACTTGAGGTCCTAATCCTTGAGCTTGACTTCCTTCGTTCATTATGAAACTTCTCCCACTTTCTTGACCTCGTTTGAAAAATGGGAAAGATTGAGTACCTGGTTTCTTTAAACTCATTGCTAATTCCAAATCGTTGATCCCTTTTGAAGATCCACAGCTATCGGATGCTATGTCAACTCCCTTCGTGTGTATCTTCATATCAAAATCATCTTCTTTGTTTTGAATAAGGCGAGTTGAAGGAACATGTGTGCTTGATTCAAATCGTGTTCCTGTCCAATGTGTGAGCCATGAAGATTGGTGAGGTTCTATGGATTGTACAGCTTTTCCGTTGTTGTTGGGATGAGATTTCTCAGGCATGATGATCGGAACTTACAGCAATGTCACCTTTCAAGTTGCAGACTTCAGACCTTCATCTACCTAGGATGGAAACAGAGTGTCATTTTAGGTTTCAGATATGCCAACAGAGTGTCGAAATTTAAAATCAAACTGACTGAATCTGAAAACGTCAATTTAATGCACTAATTCAGGCATATTAGTACGAGTACGATTTACCGAAATCTTTTACCAAATCAAACAAAATTTCTTTTTGATTGTAATGCCAAGTTCGATTATTTCAATTGAAACTCGAACGTAATGCCCTAGGATCCTAAAGCAATAACCAAAAGTCTTCCTTATCAGTTATAAGTGAAAGCAAAATTTGTCCATCGTGCTAAACATATATTTCTATCTGATTACAAATGAAAAAAAGAATAAAACTCTCGAAGTTAAATCGATTCTATCATGTATTATCATCATTTCTCAAATCTTAAAATGATTCAAATCTTCGAATTTCAACGCAAATTGAAGACATACCTCGGAATCGAATCAGGGGACTGAGAATTGGATTAATTTTTTGCACCTGAGATGGCAGATGAAGGATTAAATGATTTCTAATGAAAAATCAAACAGATTATCAAACCAGATTTGATAACTCATAAATTGAGATTTTTTCTTCTAACTTTATTGATACTTGATAGCCTACTTCGATTTTCCTTTGTACAATTACCATCATTGAGAAGCAAAATCAACATACGAATTGGATTTGAACCTATAAGAAAACATTCCAAACTTTATATGAGATACGTGGCTATTTGCAAACCACACTTCCTATATGAGTACTGCCACTTTATATGAGATACGTGGCCATTTGCAAACCAAACTTTCAATTGTTTGTTTTTTATTTATTATTATTTATTGAGAATTAGAAAACATACCAAACTTTCAACTCTTTGTTTAAATAACTATTAAATAAATAATCATATATAACCTATAAAATAAAATGTATTAATTCATTAATAGATGTTTGTTATGAATTGTAGGGGTGTGCAAAAAACCGCACAAACCGCCCACACCGCACCGCATAATGCGGTTTAGAATTTCACGGTGCGGTTTGCGGTTTATAGTTACCAAACCGCGGTTCAAACCGCACCGCGTCGTGTATGTGTGTATATATATATATATATATATATATATATATATATATATATATATATATATATATATATATATATATATATATCAAAGGTTTCAATCACCAAATACTTCATACTATCCAATAACTTTATTCTATATCACGATGGTTAAATATGATAATTAAAAACTTAAAAGACTATGATATCAAATTTCATAAGTCATAACAACTTTGCAAAACATTATGTGGTTTTTTTGTTTTCAATATCAATGCCTTTTAAATGGTATATATAATTAATAAATTTTGAAAGTGTTTAAATGTAATTAATAACAACCAAAGTTATAAATTGAAACAACTTATCAAACCGCATAAACCGCACATAAACCGCCCGCATGAAACCGCATCGCATAATGCGGTTTAGAGCTTTTCTGGCGCGGTTTGCGGTTTCCAAAAAACTCAAACCGCATGTGCGGTGCGGTTTGCGGTTTCAACTCTAAACCGCACTGCGAACACCCCTAATGAATTGTATATTAAATTATTAATTTATTTTGGGTATAAACTAATCCAGTGGTATCCGATGTTTTTTTCTTCTTTTAGATCGACGGTTCAAGTTTTACTGTGGACGGGGATTTTAAACACACCCAATAAAAAGTCAAAACCACCTCCACAAATTAATATTGAAAATATAATGATTGTACATTGTGTCTACTATTCAAAACCATTTTCATGTTTTTTTTAGACAAAACTACAAAAATGGTTACTGTGGTTTCTGAAAATATCAAGTTTAGTTCCTAAGTTCAAAAAACATCATAGATGGTGCCTGTGGTTTCAAAACTTTTAACAAATGATCCTTCCGCCTAACTCTATCAGCTTTCTACCGTTAAGTGAGGGGCATTTTCGTCATTTCAATACACAGGGACCATTTATGAGGTTTTCTCTATTTAATATATATATATATATATATATATATATATATATATATATAATTATTTAATTAAAGGCTCTCTCTCTCTCTCTCTCTCTCTCGTAAACACACACATACACCCAGCTTTGTCTTTCTCCCTCACCTATTAAAATTATAACACGAAAATATTTAGTAACCCAACAGCATTCATGTATAGAAGATAAGATAATAAACACCAAACACATCAAACACAAAAAAAGGGTAAAATCTTATAATCAGCCAAACACCATATCAAAAGAACACTAACAGAGCTATCTATTTCAACTTACGGAGATCACTACCACGAAGATGAATAACAAGGTTCAAATTGGATTCCTTCTGGATCTTATAATCAACCAAAGTTCACCCATCTTCCAATTGCTTCCCTGCAAGGATCAACCTGTATTTGATCAGGTGGAATCCCCTCCTTATCTTGAATTTTGGTTTTAACGTTATCAATGGTGGCGGAGCTCTCAACCTCCAAGGTGATTGTCTTCCCTGTAAAGGTCTTAACGAAGATCTGCATACCCCCACGAAAACGAAGAACGAGATGAAGCATGGATCCCTTCTGGAGGAGACGAGATCAGGTAGGGAACTCACCGAATCTGCAATACGAATGACAACAGCAGGTAGAGTTGTCGTATGCCATGTTTGGGGATTTTGAAAGATCTAGATGTTTGGAGACTAGAATTGCAGATTCGGGAGAAATACCACATGAATTGATGAGGTAATGAATGTTGATTTAAGGAACCTGATGTTTTTGTTGTAAATAGGGACGAATTGGACGAGGAAGAGGATAAGAAGCCATAGCAGCGCAGTTCGTGGTTGATATGAGGCCTGACATGGACTAAAAAATTTCTACGTACGAAATTAAACACCATTGCAACTTAGGATTAAGAATTTCAAAATAGCACCTTATATGATTGATCATTGGTGTACCAGGATGCGATGATATATGAACCTTGAGCACTAAACCCTATTCTTTCTTCCAGAGAGAGCTCCTGATGTAACATTCTAAAAAATTCAAACCAATTTAAACTTTTCAAAAACAACCCAGTTTCGTTAAATTATTACAAAAAGGTTTTCAATACAATTATTATCAGAGTCTTCCCATAACCATATCGTAAGACATAAACATGAGGAGCGGTACGATCATGCCTTCGCCTTGCCACGGTCTCCTGAAGTACCTGAAAAACATTAAACCACAACTGTAAGCCCGAAAGCTTAGTGAGATACCCCCAAAATACCAACCACATATACCACACATAACATATCATCATCGAACAGAAACAGAACAACATGCACTAGGTCTACAACTTTGTAAGTTGAACTACCCCATGGGCCCTCAGTACGAGTATGGAATGCCTACCGATCCCTCAGCTCGTATCTGGAATGCCATCGAGCCCTCAGTATGAGTATGGAATACCTACCGGGCCCTCAGCTCGTATCTGGAATGCTCCCGAGTCCTCAATATGAGTCTGGAATGCCTACCGGGCGCTCAACTCATATCTGGAATACTCCTGAGTCCTCAGTATGAGTCTGGAATGCCTTCCGGGCCCTCATCTCATATATGGAATACTCCCGAGTCCTCAGTATGAGTCTGGAATGCCTTTCGGGCCTTCAGCTCATATCTGGAATACTCTAGGGTTTGTTGGCTACCGCACGGAGCAGTACAACCTCAACCCATCCCACATAACATGTCGACATGTAACAGATAAATGCACATACATGTAATCAATCAGTATCACAGGCAGTCCTACAGATCTACCTGACTAGCATATCAACTGTTATACATTACTAACTCAACTCAACATATCAATAACTACTAGGATATCAAATCCATTGGGCCGACCTTGGTGCCTTAGACCCCTTAGTATAGTGAGGATAACTCATCTCGCAATTGCTGGCTGAAAATATAAGATCACGCTGCTCCAACCTCCGACACGAACTCCACCACTGATAATACTAAAAGACTGAACCCAGTAAATACCAATAATTACCAAAATGCCCTTGGAAGTCAACTGGTCAACTTTTGGTCAAAGTCAAAGTCCTCAGTCAAAGTCAAACTTCCTGACTGACCCTACTCGCCGAGTCAGCCCGCTGACTCCCCGAGTCCCTCAACTCTGAAAAATCCCATCTCAACTCACTGAGTCATCCCTTGACTCATCGATTCTCAGCTTAACCAGAAAAGGCTAGGACCTCAAGACCAGACTCGCCGAGTCCAAGGTTATCTTCAACCAACTCGCCAAGTTGTTCTTCCAACTCGTCGAGTTTCTTCCTATCTTCATACAACTCGCCGAGTACACCCATGTGACTCGCCGAGTACCACTAGCTCTTAACCCATACAGAGGCTTTCCAAGCCATGCAGGGGCTCCAATCCATAGATCTACTCTTCCACAAGCTATTCCTCACGTAAAGTTGCAAACTTTACGTGAATCTAAAGAGATCTAAGCATAATATATTCTAGGGCTAGGGTTTGGGACAAAAGAACTTCACCAAGAACTCTTGAGCATAGACTTTATGGCTTTCTGGATCATTAACAACCTAGATCTGAGATAGCAACCTTAGATCTTACACCAAACTTGAGATGGACCTCATTCATACCACAAAAACCCCACAATTGATAGATCTAGATGCACAAAAGCTCAATCAACAGATTATTACCTCAAATGAAAGCTCCAACTGAAGAATAAGCTAAATCTCTACAAGGCCCCTTGATCCAACCTTCTTCTTCTTCACTTCCCCTCCAAGATTTCCTCCTCCAAGACTCTATATGCTCTCCAACTCTCTCACAACCGAAAGCTAGGGTTTCTGGACTTCAAGGGAGAGTAAAGAGGCTTGGGAGAGGGTATTATGTTCATTATATAGGGCTCAAACCCCGGGATTAGGGTTTTCTCCATACAACACCAACTCGTCGAGTCCACCCATACGACTCGCCGAGTTGGTCACTTATCACGCAACCTAAACGCAACTCGACTCACCGAGTCTATCCATAGACTCGCCGAATCCGACCTTCTTATTTACACTTTTAGTCCTTCAACTTTACTTCTGAATTTTGGGATGTCACAATTCTCCCCCACTTAAATTAGGCTTCGTCCTTGAAGCCTGCGGCAACACAACTCCATAAACTATTCTCGCAATGCACCACCTGGAATTAATCAAACCAGGTTCCTCAAACACTACCATCGAAACCCGAAACCCAACTCTTCCCCTGTGGTGTCCTGACCACCGCCTCAAGCCGGCTACTGGCTTCATCCTCTGATAACCACACTTATCAACCGAGTACCACTCCAGGGTACTTCACTCGTTCCAGATCACAACAATCACTTGACTCTTACGAGCTAGATATAACCATGAACCACCAGGATCCCGACCCGGTACCGCACTGCTATCATTTTCCTCGTCAAACAGATCCTTCACCGAATTCACGGCTGAGACTTAACCTGCTCCCTTTCCGAGTCCAACTCTATCCCTTCCATGCCTACAGAATGACACATCCTTCAGCTTCAGAGCAACTCCCATGAGTTCTCCTCTGCAATCGCATGTACATGTTGAACTAACTCTAGCATCCTCGGGTTGGGAAAATCTAACACACTGACGACACCTCCAAACATCCCCCAGGATGAATTATCACTACTTGCATAATTTCTTGTTCACACCAAACTGGGAATCCAAGGCTCCATCCTTGCATCCCTTCTGAGCCTCTTTGGCTCTACACCCTCGGAACTCCTCCCGAGACCTCCGCAGACATCCAAACCGGATGTGATTCCATACCACCGGTGCAAACACACTGCTCAACAACCATGATTGGGACACCTCAATCATACCTCCATGCTACTGTTTTCACTTCCGTGAACTTACACTCCCTCTCGGAGCTATATACCTTTCCCTTTCCTTATCCAAGGAAATCTACTTGGCTGCCTTGTCACTACGACAAGTGCCACGGTGGTCGCCCAACGCTACACCATTCCCTTATAGCATAACCGCTATCCCATGCACCACACATGCTCTGAATATGCTTGCAAGGACTCTCGAGTCCATGCACTGATGGGTTTTGGTCATAAGACATCCTATGTGCTCATACAAACCCTAATGCTTGGATCTAGGTTTCTCTATTGTACATGCTTTGAATCCAAGACTATAAACCCTAATTCTAGCATACAAGTAATCATATTAATATGTAATTAGGTTTAATATCATACCTTGATTGTTATGTAGCAATAACAATCCCAAATCTCCTTGTATTAACTTTGGAATGCTTAGAGTCACAAGTGTCACTCCTCTAATGGTTCACAAACACCATAAGCAAATGGATGAAGAGGAGAGAGGATGGAGGCTGCCAAAAACGTGTGTAAACCCTTACAAGAAGCTTAGCCACGTTTTTGAGCCTTAAGGGGTCTTTATATAGTTGGGCTATTAAGGTTATCTAACAAGAAAACCCTAATTTGGATGCTTAAGCCCTAAGCAACCCATAGACTCCTTTAATTAAGCCCATGGACGATTTCCTTATGGGTTTCCCATTAGAATTCGTCCATCCCTTAATACAAGGCAATCCATGGCCCAAATTGCAATTATCTTATAATTACAATTCCAGTCCCTTAAGTTTAATTAATCTCTTTTAGTCACAAAACTAATTACCAATTAATTATTGACTAATATTAATTAAACAATATGATTTCTCCTTTAATATATTATTCCCATAATATATTAATAAATCATATTTAATCCTTACTCTCCATAATTCATCCTATCAAGTTGCTTTGGTGAAGGCAACCCAAAAGGACCATGCACCATCGGGTCAAGTACATACCAAAATAGTTATGGACTTAGACACTAATCCAACAGTCTCCCACTTGGATAAGTCTAACAACTATTCTGCGTATGACTTCAGATCCTGATCTGCAATCGTAGCTTTCCAAAGCCGCTGTCAACTCTGATCATATCAGATACGCGTGTCCTTAGATAAGGGATCATATATTCCTCCATTCTAGATATCGTATGAGATATGATTTCAAATCATTCTCTTGTACTATTCTCGATTTCTGATTTATGACGACAGACTAATTGAACAAATCAAATTAGCCCTAGCCCGGCCGAGCATTTACGTTTGTCATCACTAAACCATCGAGGGGCCCAAAGATATCGCTTTATCCTACTTGGATAAAAGGAACGGATAAACTTTGATACAATGCTTGCTTGCACTCACTAACCAAATCACACACAACAATATGTTTTATAACACCAAGTTACTAGTGCGTTTACATATTATCAATGTGCAACCGATTCGCAAGATACAACTCACACATCTCGGTTTCAAGAATATAAGATGTTATCGTCTCACTAATCACTCGATATAATTCATGGAGTGATCCAAGTGAGCGTGGGTTTAATCCAATGCTCAAATCATATTCATAAGCACTCATGAACGTTGCAGCAAACATTTGCTTATGTCTAATACTCTTCTAGACAATCCACACACCAATTCACGACAGTCTTCATTCATATCTACTTCCAACATATGAACGACTGTGGCCCGTTTGAATAATTCGATTATTCTTAATAAACTCAATTATTCTGGAAGTCAAAACATGCAAGGTGAAACACAAGAATAATACTAATCCCATATGGCCTCAAACCTTTGAGTATAAACAAAACACGTTTTATTTATCACCATATCGATTACTCATTATTTGTCGTTTCGGGTAATCAACTTTTACTTGAATTATTACACTTGTCCCATGCTCCTAGCATGCACACAATGTTTACCTATGGTTCTTACTTTTGTGAAATAGACAAATTGAACACATTTCCAATCATTCTCATTTTACAACTCCAAATCCATTT